ATTAGTCCTCCCAAGACCAGAATCTGCAAACGACAAAGACCTCCCTTGTCCCCAGCAAAAGCCCATCACAGAGGCAAAGTCACTGCCATGCACAACCCCAGACATCAGGGGAGGGGGCTGAAACTGCTGCCCAGCATCGGGAAGTCCTCCACCCTCCACTCTGCCACCCTCAGCTACCACCACAGGAATGTGGAACCGTGGCTCGCAGTACGGGATCAAGGCTCCAGGCTCATGTGAGGGACCACAGCTCAGGCTCACAGTTGGGCACCACAACTCCAACTCACGGGAGGAGACCACAGCCCCAGTTCACAGGAGGGGGACCACAGGTCCAGGTTCACAGAAGGGGACCACAGCTTCAGGTTCATGGGATGGGCCACAGCTCCAGCTCACAGGAAGACCACAGTTCCAGGTCATAGGAAGGGACCACAACTTTAGGTTCATGAGAGAGGACCACAGCTCTCTTCTCCACAAGAGGTCACTTAGCAATTTTATGGCATATGACACTGAAGGATTTTAAGCTGTAAATGACTTGTAATGGCTAATCTTCAAAAAGCTGTCTGTCTGCTGTGCTGAAGATAGTCTAGAGGCTGCTGTGGAGACTATCACATGACAAGAGAAGGGTTATATCTGAGAGGCATTGGGAAGGTAGGGCCTGGATGCCCAGAGGTCATGATGACAGTTGGGGTAAAGAGGAGGGTTAGATCCTGGTTCTAGAGTTGTCCTAGAGCCAGGAAGCTGTGGATGATAGTGAAAAGCTGACCAGAGGCATGAAGGAGAGTAGGAGAAAGGAGATACCCAAGAGCCTTGGGGTTAGAAATGGCAATGAGGAGGGAGTTGTGGGTGATGAGATGGATTCAGAGGACAGAGTGCCTACAAGAAGCAGCACTCTGCAGTGAAGAGATGGGAGTTGAGGGGTGTGTGTGTGTGTGTGTGTGTGTGTGTGTGTGTGTTTCGAAAGTTTGCCAACGTCCTACAAGTCTGAGACAAAGTAGATACTCAAGAAGCACCCAGGAACAGGCTCAGCCGTCTTCGCCTGGGAGGCAGCGTCTGGGCCCCACTAGAGAAGGGGCCACCTTGGGAGCCTATTAAGGCTGTGGCCAGACCTCCATCAGTCTCTTTTTCCAACCTCCTCCCACCTCTCTGAGTACAGGACTGCCTTGCCTGTACCATCACCTGGTCCTCACCAGTCTGCTTCTGCTCAAACCAGTTCAGGGCCTGCCTCTGCCACATACCCGCTCTTCTGTCCACCTGGTGCTTTCCACAAGTGTGACTCTAAGCATCCCATTGGACTTTCAGTTTTACTCTCGCTTCGGAGATACCTCCCCACTGATGCTGGTGGTCAGCCAAAGACTAGCCATCTGCAGCCTTCTGTCCCTGGTCCTGAGGCAGTTGGTGTTTGTGTGACCCATGCTGTGTAAATTTCATTCCTTCATTCCATGTTTGACACTGCTATGCCGGATTCTGTACTAGATGCTGGGTTGTGTGTGAAATTCAGATCACAGTCCCTGCTCGGAAGGTGCTTCCAACTTAAGAGATGCTGAATAGTAGCCCCACTGAGCCAGAGGCAGTGCATGGGGCATCTGTGCTGGCTTCAAGGGGCTGGAATCCAGAGCTAAACCCACAGTACTTTGCAACAGGCACCAATTACAAGGTTGCTCTGCAGGGTGAGAGATATGGTAGAAAGGTGAATATTTTATTCCATAGATGCTGGTGTTACCTTGAAAATAAGTAGTGTCCTAGTTTGTTTCTCCATTGCTGTGACAAAACACTCTGACTGATACCAACTTGGGGAGGAAAGGCTTTATTCAGCTTACATATCCCAGGTCACAGTTCATTAGGGAGCCCAAGGTAGGAACTCAGGCAGGAACCTGGAGGCAGGAGCTGGAACACAGGACATGGAGGAATGCTGCTTACTGACTTGCTTCCCCAGCCCCTGCTCAGCCTGCTTTCTTAATCAACACAGGCCCACCTGCCCAGGGATGGCACCACCCACAGTGGGCTGGACCCTCCCACATCACTCAACAATCAAGAAGGTGCCCCATTGACATGGCCACAGGCCAGTCCAATGAAGGCAATTCCCCAATTGAGGCTCCCTCAACCCAGGTGTGGCAAGTTATCCAGCACAAGTGGATTTAATTATTATATATGCAAATAACTGTTGTTGAAAGTGATGAGTCACTTTCTTTGGACTTAGGGTAGTTAACACTGCCAGTGCTAACCCATTTGGGCACACTTCTGGGTTGACCAAGCTGCATTACTACTCGTGGGGGCATGGGCAAATTCACGGAGCACAGACACACAGACAGTGCAGCTTGCCTCTTTTTATGTCTTGAACAATGCCTTTGTTTTCAGTGTTATGACATGATTACAGAGGGGTCTTGTTTTTTCTTGATCCATCATAGTTATGGAGTGGCTTGGTTTGTTGCCAATGTTTTGTGAAATTGTTTACATTTTATATAGAACATGCAGGCCTCTATCTGTGGGTGCCAGGGCAGCTCCTAACAACTCTGGTCTCCTCTATCTGTGAGTGCCAGGACAGCTCCTACCTGCACTAAGACTCTGCAGATCAGACAGGCCAGCTGAGGCATTGGAGGCTGCTTTTCTCACGTTAACAGTTGTGATTTCAGAGTTACAGTTCCATTTGGCTTCACGCTTCCTGAGCGCTTTTTAAAAAAATGTGTATGAGCCTGCATGTATGTAAGAGCAACCATATTGTGCAATGCTCACAGAGGTCAGAAGGTGGCCTTGGATCCCCTGGACCTGGAGTTATGGATGGTTGTTAGCTGTCATGTGAGTGCTGGGAATCGAACCTGGGTCCTCTGGAGATGCTTTTAAACACATGCATGCTATCATGCCCAGCTTTACATGGGTTCTGGGGATGTGAACTGTGGTCCTCACGCTTGCAGAGCAAGCACTTTGCCATTTAACCATCTCCTCACACCAGTGAGTACTTTGTCTTATTCAAGTACAGAGCATCAGGACCTAGGGCTCTGTTTCCCTTTCCTTTCTCAGTGGGTAGAAACACTTCTGCTTTCCTGGCCCGCTGCTCAGCCTGATTCCCTGGTGACACTGTTTGCTCCTAGCCTCTCTCTGACTCATCCCAACAGCTGTCTCACTGCTGCCTTCGCCAGTCCCAGCCAGACACTGTCTCTTCCACTTTTTGAGTCCACCTTCTTGAATACAAGCCTAGCAACTGGCTTTCTGATCAGCTGTCACCTACAAGGACATGTCCAGGTCTGGTTTGGTGCTGGCTTCTCTCTTGCAGTAGACCTTTGCTTCAGACCCTCTGGCCCCTGAACCGGGCATTCGCCTCCAGCTTGTCCCCAGAAAGCCCTCCCACACTGTTTTCCTGGGACTTTGAGGAGATGCCGCCTTTGCTGATCTTTTTGACGATCCCCAGGCCGCTCTACCCACCCTGTTATTCTAACCTTGTAGATGATCTCCCCCTACCCATCTATGTCCTAGGGGCTGTTTGTTTTGTCATACTGGACATCAACTCAGGGCTTTTTGTACATGCTAGCCACGTTCCCACTTACTGGGCAAGTTCTCAGCCATTGAGCAATACCCCCAAACCCTTGGCCTGGTTCCTTCTAGTCAGCATGTTTAGAGGACTTGCCACAGCACTTTGAATGAGGAATTGGATCTTCTCAAAGAAATGACAGAAGGGGAGGTCAGGGGAGTCTTGTCACCTGTATTACGGTACTCAGCAGAGTATAAGGTGAACTCCAGGAGGGGGCCTTGGCAGCACAGCCTGACTCCTGGCAGAAGGGCTTTGAATAGCAACAGCCCTGCAAGGTGAAACCTTTTGGCTCAGGTTGTCTGAGAGAAGGGCCGGAGCTAAGAGGAAGGGTAGCTGAAGCTGCCAGTGGGCAGTTGGCAAGGGCTTTGGTGCCAGGATGAGAAATGTGGGCTTCATCCTGAGGGTACCAGATAGAGGGTCTTAGGCGGGTTGTGGAATCCATGGCTAGCAGTCTGGTGGAGGATTGGCAGACATAAGGTCTGAATGAGACAGAGGAGGCTGGGTGGGGAGGAGTCAGACAGGATGGAGGGGATGGCCACTTCTGGCCTGAGAAGATAAAGCAGGAGCCCCAGGTTTGGGGGAGGGTGTTTCTGGATTTGGCAAAGGCCACAGATGGAAGACCTGGACATTGGTGGCTTGTAGAGTGTGTGTCCCTTCATGTACGTGAGGTATTGGTGCTAGTTAAGCAAGTACACCCACAGACTGGCAGGGAGCAGCAGCCCAGGAAGGGTCTCATGCTAAGATGCAGAGTCCTGGGGAAGAAATCCCACAAGGGTTAAGGCTGCCCTGGCCCCTGGCTTTGGGAGCCTGGAAGGCTTGGAAAAAGCTGGGCTTGTAGGTATGGAGGGACTCTCTATGGGGAGGGTGAGGATCCAGATAGCTAGTGGGTAGCCAGATCCCAGGGGCATGGGTGGCTGGGTGAGGACTCCAGAGGTCAAGTGGCAGGGGAGAGGAAGGGGTATAGAACAGGTGGGCTCGAGAAGCCAGTGCCAAGAACCAGAGTGAGACCAAGGAGTCTGCCTGGTAGAACCCTGACCCATGACCCATGCTGCTGATCCAGAGCCCACTACTGCCTTGTGCTGTGCTCAGACAGTGGAGTGATACAGCCAGGCCACGTCACACTGTGTGATCTGGCACCATCTCTGAGCACCTTTTAAGAGTCCTGTCTATCAGCCCAGAACCCAGTACACACCTTAAAATGCAGTTGGCAAGACGGCAAGGAAGGAGATGCAAGCATGGAGGATTAGCTATTGTCATTAACCTACAATGTCAGTGCCCGTCCTGGGCCCATAAGCCAGGACACAGGAGCTACAACCCCTCCACACCTCAGGGAAGAAGTAGAAGTGAGGAGAGAGAGGGAGAGAGGGGGAGAGAGGGGGAGGGGAGGGGAGGGGAGGGGACGGGGGGGGGGGGGGGGGAGGGGGGGGGAGAGAGAGAGAGAGAGAGAGAGAGAGAGAGAGAGAGAGAGAGAGAGAGAAAGCAGAGAGCAGAAGGTTCCCTTTATTGGAATTTTAATGACAGCAGCATGAGAAGAAGGCTCCTCCCCTCAAAGATGCCATCCTCTCTGCTCTCAGGGCTCAGCACAGGAATGAGAACCCACCCAGTGTATCCCCCAGAGGGCAGGGTGGAGAGGGAAAGGGGTTACTCTATGCCAGGGGAGCTGGGACAGGGAAGACGTGCACCCTCACCTCTTGGTTCAATCTCTCTCCCCTGGGACCTGGTGTTACTCCCAGACCCTGAGGTGGGCTGGCAGACAGGGCTCATGCAACAATGAATGGACAGATGGTGGCACAGAAATGCAGCCCCATCATCTCTTAGCAAGGGCAAGAGAGCTAGAAAGGGCCATGCTGTGGCCACAGAGGGTCCAAACATGTATTTGCTGTGTACACACAAGGGTGGGAGAGGGGCTCCCTCTGCCCCAGGCTGTGCCTTGGGACCAGAGAGAGGGGAGCACAGATAGCACTGCCATGCCAGGAGCAGGGTCTGGGCCAACCATGCCACCTGAGCTGGGGGTTTGCACTACTCCTTGGCACGGCCAATGATGGTGAGAATATATAGGAAGATGTTGATGATGTCCGTGTACAGGTTCAGTGCCGCAAACACGTACTCCTCTGGGCTCAAGGACAGCTGCTTGTTGCCCAGCAGAAGCTGGGTATCCACTGCCAGGAACTAGGGGGGTGACAACACAGTTGGTATGACGACATGGTTGGTGCTGAATAGCCTACCCATTCTCCCAGCCTTCCCCTCAAATGCCTCCCAACACCTTCACTCACACAGGTGAAGAGCAGAGCGCCCAGTGAGGCATACACGATCTCCAGGATGCGGTTCCGGATAAAGATGCAGAGTATGGCGAAAATCAAGAGGACCACCACACTTACCAGGAGCACGCCCATGCACGAGGTAAAGTCATAGCGGGTCTGGTAGGAAGGAAGGGAGGTAAGAGGCTGTGGGTGCTGGACCTTGGGACTGCACGCTGGCCTTGGGCCCCCCCTCACCTGCATGGAGAAGATGACTACTGTGAAGCAGACAGCTGTAGTGATTCCCACTGCCATGATGACTGCCTCTGTGTTGTAGAAGCTGGCGATCATGCCCACCATGTAGGACAAGCTGATGGTCAGAATCGACTGTAGAACAAGAGGACCACACCAGACCCTGGGTGTTTGGAGCTGCTCCTGGCCCAACCCTGCTGTGTACCCACCCTTCCCTGCTCCACAGGCCTGGGGGAACTGGGCTCAGGGTTGGGAGTTACCAGAGCAACAAGGTTCCAGGGATGCTTTCGCCGGAAGTCCCCACAACAGCTGAGGACGATGAGGGAGATGAAGAAGACAGCATAGGAGACGTAGTAGGTCCAGACATTCTCCCGGACAAAGCCCTTCACCTCCCCAACAAATGTGAACACGGCGACCGTGGACAGGGTCACTGACAGCTGCAGAGTCAGCACCAGAAACACCTGGGGAGGGAACAGATGAGAACCCCACCTCACCTGTCCACCCCCAAGGCTCCCCCAACTTGCCAGACCTCACCTTTCTGATGAAGGCTTGCCGAATGTTCTTGTCATCCCAGTTAGTCGAGGGGAAGTCCTGGTTGTCATAGTAGGATGGGGGCCCCTCCTCCTGGTAATTCCCATGTTGTGGTGCTGGGGGCACAGAGGCTGGGTCAGTGTCCCTAAAGGGGCAGTTGCATCCCTCCAGCCCCACCACCTTTCTCCACACTCACAGTCAGGGTCCTGGAAGGGTGGTGGCTGTCCATAGGGATTGGGGGGAAAGGGGCTCTGTGGGTAGGGCCCCTGTGGATAGCCTCCTTGAGGGTAGGGTCCCTGAGGGTAGCCACCCTGTGGATAGGGGCTGGACCCATGGGGATACCCTGGCTGACCATAGGGGGAGGGCTGGAAAGGAGGCTGTGGGTATGGGGCCCCAGGGTAGGGAGGCTGGACATAGGGAGGCATAGGGGGCTGGGGCCCCACAGGATATCCAGGGTTTGGGGGAGGATAGCTGTCCCCAGACACCAAGAAACTCTTTTCATGGGACATGGCCTCAGGTTCTACGGCTGCCCCTAGAGGAGAGAGAGAGAACAGTAAACTGTGAGGGACTGTCTCTGGAACCAGCGACAGCCCCACCTGCTGCGGAACCCAAGAGGAAAGCGGCAGGGCCATGACCTTTGTACTGGGCCCTGGGGAGCTCCAGAACAAGGCTGCAGGGAGAGGTTGGGGGGTGGTGCTGGTGGCCTGATGTGGAACCCTTGGAAGGGACTGCTTTACATCGACGGAGTAGAGGAGGGGGCAGGAAGGAGTGATGGCTGTCAACCTCGGATGTGGAGCTTTGAAGATGCCTTCTCACCGCGGTGGGTGGGCGTCCTTCGGGTCAGAGCTCAGGAAGGAGGGGCGAGGGGAACAGTTGCTGACGCATGGGGGTGTGCCCTGGCCCTCTCTTTCCCATCCCGCCCATTAAGCAGCTTGAAGGGGCCAGTTCTAGTGGCTTATTTCCATCCCAGTAAATCCCCAGGCCATCCGTGACCATCGGGGACCCTGACCCTCCTCCCAAGTACGGGGCCCGAATGTCCCTCTCTCCCGATGTGGGGTGCAGACCTGTATTGGCTGCCAGGGTGTCTGCTTGTGGGGTACGCCAGGAACAGCGGGGTGCGGGGGTGTGTGGGGGATGGAAGCGACCAGAGGGCGTTCAAGGGAACAAAGCAGCTAAGGGGGCGACGGGAGGGGGGCGGTGGCCACGGAACGCGCCGCGAGGCCGAGGGGCCCCCCCCCCGCCGCGGGCTCAGGGGGCGCTGGGCCGCGGGTCTAGCCCAGCCGCAGCACGCCGCCCCCTCCCTCGGCTCCAGCGGCCGTCGCCACTCCCCACCCCCACCGCTGCCCGCAGTCCGGGCCGAGCGGGCCGCGCGCCCGGGCCGGTGACCGACCGACCCGAGGCGGCCGGGCACGGTTACGCAGGGCGGGGGTGGTCGACCCTAAGGGTGGTGGCGGCGGGTGAGACACACTCCAGGGCCCGGCGCGGGGACTCACCGCTCTCGGGGAGCCAGAGGCCGGTGTGTACAGTGTCGGCTGCGCGGCCGCGCGGTGATGGCCGGTGCGTCCGCACCTGCACCCGCTGGGCTGCTGCCTACCCCGGCCTGCGCCTGCGGCAGGTGAGACGCTGCGGGGCCTTGTGACGGGGCGGGGCCTTATGACGGACAGGGGCCTTGTGACGGACAGGGGCAGGGCTGAGCTTGTTATAGGGCGGGACTTGCGAGGGGGCGGGGCCTAGGACGGGACCTCCTAGCGGACCAAAATCGCTCTGCCCAGGCTGGCCTGGCCCACTGCGACCTGGGCCTGCATGCACTCTGTACTGTTGTCTGACCAGGGTTCGGTTGGGGCAGTGGGAGCTAGGGACTTCTGCAGGCACGGATCTGTTCTGGCTTATTTGGCCTTCCATTCAGAGAGCTAATTCCTAAATCCAGGGTTCATCGAAGGTTCCAAGGCCTCCATCCATTATTGGTTTTGTTGTTTCGAGACAAGGTCTCACTAGTAGCCACAGCTGACTTGGAACTCACTATTTTGCTCAGACAGGCCTGGAATTTGTGGCAGTCACCCTGCCTGAGCCTCCCATCTGGTGGGATTACAGGCATGAGCCACTACTCCCAGCCTTTTATTGGCTTTTAAATATAACATTCATGTTTCCTTTTCATCCATGTCTATTTCAAACCAAGAGACCTCATTTAATCGTCCCTATTTTCTCTACCAATCATGGAGCCCAAACTATAAGGCACCGTACTCAGGCCTCTTGTCACTTCATGTCCTCAAACTTGACAGGAGGCTGAGTTGTAGAGGTGTAGTGGGCCACTTCTCTGCCTCGACTCCGAAGGTCTTCCTGAGGAAAGAGCCCTGTTTCTGGTCTTCTGTGGCTTGGGGGACATTCCACTGTCATGTCTTCATGTCTCGTGACCCCTTCCCCGGCCTTGGATGGTTGAGAAAGCGTTCTCTGTGTCCATAATGCACTGGCTGTTTAACTGGATCTAGTAAAGCAAAGCTTTATTCCCACCATAGTTGGTTACAAGTTGTTCCACTTTCATTTCTGTTGACTAAATTCCCTGACAAAAAGCAACACAGGAGGGAAAGGGTTTATTTGGCTTACGATTCCAGGTCACAGGTCATCATGGGGAAGTCAAAGACAGGAACGAAAGCAGAGAAACTCCACACTGCCTGCTTACTTGCTCTCAGCTCCCTTTCTCCACAGTTCAGGGCCCAGCCATGAAACGGTACCGCCAACATTCAGGGTGGGTCTTCCTGCCTCAATTAACAATCAGGACCGTCCCCTCACAAGCCTGGAGAGGTGGCTTAGCAGTTAGGAGCACCCTTGCAGAAGACCTGAGTTCAGTTCCCAGTGCCCACGTTGCCACTAACAAGTGTCTATAATGCCAGTTCCAGGGGGATCTGTCACCCTCTTCTGGCCTCTGTGGGTACTGCATGCATGAGTGCATGCAGGCAAAATACTCCTACATATAAAAATAAATCAAAAGGGTCTGGAGAGATAGCTAAGTGGTTAAGAGCACTGGCTGCTCTTACAGAGGACCCAGGTTTGCTTCCCAGCACCCATATGACAGTTGACAACTGTCCGTAACTCCAGTTCCAGGGGATCCAACCCTCTCTCTGACTCTGTGGGCGTTGCATGACACGGGTGCACTTAAATATATGCAGGCAATACACTCAATCACATAAAATAAAAAGAATAAATAAAATATTAAAAATAAAAACAATAAAGACAGTCATCACAGACATGCCCACAGGTTAATCTATCTAGATAATTCCTCATTAATATTCTCAACAGCCAGGTATGGTTTAATCTCAGCACTTGGGAGGCAGAGGCAAGTGAATCTCTGTGAGTTCAAGGCCAGCCTGATGTACACAGTAAGATCTAGGTCATTTGGGACTACAGGGAGACCCTGTCTCAAAAAGACAACATAAAAAACAACAAAAAACAAAACCAAAAAAACAATGACTCTTTTAGCAGATGATTCTAGGTTGTGTCAAGTTGACAGTTAAAACTGTCTAGCACACAAGTTATCTTTAGTTTAACATCAAGTTCACAGAGATTCCTCAAAATTTAATAATGGAGGTGATGTGAGCTGATTCAGTCTGGCCCTGCCTGTGGCAGGCCCTCTGTAGCAGGGATTGGCTTAAGTATAGTGTGTTAGAGGTAATGAGTCCTGCAAGAAGAAAGCACACGAAAGGCTGGACAGACTTGGATTTTGGAGAATAAGAATCTCAAATAATTTTGTGGGGCTTTTCTTTAGAAAAGTAAAATGACAAAGTTGACTAGAGGGCTTCAGAAGGAGCCTGGATGAGTCAGAGGTCCTTCAGGCTCCATGGTAAATGCTGGGTAAGGGAGATTATGGAGAAGGGATGGCCACATGGCTCTCTGGGGAAGGCCTGGCCATGCAGAGTAAAGCTGCTCCAGGAAAGAGCTGAGAGGACAGAGAGGCTGGGACCTCCTAAGCATCAGGCTGTCAAGTATGGGAAGGGGTTTGGGGGGACAGGGATGGGAGCCACACAGGCCCTCAGAAGGGCTGTAACTTTGGCCCTGGGGGCTGTGGCAGCCATTGGTAACCCTGCCAGCTCTGAGGAGGATCCACAGTGAGGGTGGGTGAGAGTGGGAGAGAAAAGGGTAGGACGGCACTCCAAGAAGGTGCTAGAGGCTCCTGAGGGAAGAACAGGTGTATAAGGCTGAGAAGATGTCATGATCCTCTGGTATAGCAGCAAAGGAAGGGCTGGGGTCACTGGTAGGTGGGAGTAGTGCATGGTGGTGGTTACAGTTTTGGAAAGGATTGAAGCAAACAGGCTATGATGAGGTGCGGGATTGATGGTGGGTAGGAGGGTGGATTCTAAAGGCACAATCTGAAAGTTTGTGTATGTGGACATGGTTGTGCATGCCTGTAATTCAACTATTCAGAAGGCTGAGGCAGGAGGATGACATTGAATTCAAGGATAGCTTTAGTATACAGTGAGACCCTGTCTCAAAAACAAAACAAAACAAAACAAAACAACAGTAGTAAAATAAAGGCAGCCTGGCATGGTGACTCATGCCTGTAATCCTAGCACTCAGGAGACTGAGACAGGAGGATCACTCTTAGTTCAAGGCCAGTCTGGCCTGCACAGTGAATTTCAAAGAGCCTGGGCTACAAAGTGATACCATATTTCAAAATTAAAGAAAGAAAGAAAGAATAAAGCTGTGTGAGGCCTGGCACCTTGGGTGTTGAGTGTGCCTTCTGTGGTAAGGATTAATGGCAGAAGGACATGTCCACACAGTGGCTGTGTCTTGGGCAATGATGATGACCGATACGATGTAGATGGAAAGACTGGGCAGATGTCAGCTGGAGGGAGCCAAGGAGAGGAGCCCCATCAGAAACAGACAGCAGGAGCTGTGTTTGGATATGAACTTTTAAAAATACCTAAATCATAGCCAGGTGTGGTGGCTCACACCTTTAGTCTCAGCACTCAGGAGCCAGTGGAAGGTGGATCTCTGTGAGTTTAAGGCCAGCCTGGTCTACATAGTGAGTTCCAGGCCAATTGGGGGTACAAAGAGACTCTGTCTCAAAAAGACCAAAATAATTTTAATCATATATATGGAGAGAGACAGAGACGAGAGAGAGAGAGAGAGAGAGAGAGAGAGAGAGAGAACGAGAACAAGTTGTGGGAGTTGGAGGTCAAACCCAGATTGTTAGGCTTGGCAGCAAGGACTTTTACCCACCCCAATATATGAGCTTTATTGAGGTCCAAGGTTGGAGTAGCTCACTTGCACTTAGATGTGAGGCTGGCTGCCTACTGGGTGTGAAGGACCTGTTGGGGTTCTTCTATTGATAAGAGTCAGCCTCAGCCAGGGACCAGCCTACAGAGCCAATGCTGCTCACATCTAGGACATGGGGCACAGAAGCCTAGCAGTCTTGGCTGTCAGGGGACAGGGACTCAAGCATCCAATGGGGAAGGTGTTCTAGTTTGTTTCTCCACTGCTGTGACAAAACCCTCTGACCGATACCAACTTGGGGAGGAAAGGGTTTATTTGGCTTACATCTCCCAGGTCACACTTCATCTGGGAGCCCAAGGTAGGAACTCAGGGCAGGAACCTGGAGGCAGGAACTGGAGCACAGGCCAGGGAGGAATGCTGCTTACTGGCTTGGCTTGCTCCCCTGGCCCCTGCTCAACCTGCTTTCTTCTACAACACAGGCCCACCTGCCCCGGGGTGGCACCTCCCACATCATACAACAATCAAGAAAATACCCCACAGACATGGCCACAGGCCAGTTCAATGGGGGAAATTCCCCAATTGAGGCTCCCTCAACCCAGGTGTGTCAAGTTGACATTGAAGCTATCCAGCACAGAAGGTGATTGGTCACAAAGAGAAGCCAAGGAGGTGGAGGATGGCCAGGGGACATCCTGTCGGACCCTGCCAGCCAGGGGCTAGTGGGTGGGGTTGCAGGACGGTCGTTATATTTCTTGTGGACTGAGAGTTTTGGCTCCAGCAGGGAAGGAAACACCTCAACCACAGCCAGTGTCTCTGGCTCCTCCCATTTTCCTTCTCCCAGTCAGTTTCACTTTTGCTTTCCTGTCTCAGGCCTTCTGCTCAGTAGGCGCAACAGTCCTGGCTGACCAGCCTGGGCGGCAGTCGTGTGAGTATAAATATGAAATGTGGGGTTGCCCATAGTTGGGGAGTACCCGGGAGAATGGGAGAGGTGGCAGAGGGGTGGAGAGGGCCTCTTCCCTTCTCACGAGTCCTATCCCAGGGTTCTGATGGCTGAAGTGGAGGCAGGGGCTGCCGTGGAGCTCCAGGGACTGCCCCCTGAAGTCCCAGATGAGCTGCTCACGCTCTACTTTGAGAACCACCGCCGCTCTGGCGGGGGTCCTGTGTTGAGCTGGCAGAGACTTGGCTGTGGGGGCATCCTCACCTTTCAAGAGCCTGCAGGTGAGGAGGCTGGCTGGAGGGGCAGCTTGGGTGCGCCAATGTTTTGATAGCTCTGACACCCTGCCTCTGCTCACAGATGCAGAGAGGGTCTTAGCCCAGGCAGAACACCAACTACATGGCGCTCCACTGAGCCTGCGACCAGCACCCCCACGGGCCGCTGCACGTGTGCTTCTCCAAGGACTGCCACCTGGCACTTCACCTCTGAGCCTGGAGCAGCATGTTCAGGCCCTGTTGTGTGCCATGGGACACCCAGTGCAGGTTTGCCGGGCCCTGGCCAGCCCCCGGCAGGACCGTGCCCTGGTCCAGCTACCCATGCCCCTTTCTGAGGCAGGTGAGAGGCAGGTGAGGGGTGGGATTGGGACTTAGGTGCTAGTTAAGGGAGGTGTCTGAGCTGATTTACGCACTTCCCACAGAGGTCTGTGCCCTGAAGGAGCAGGCCCAGAATCTGCAACTGAACGGGGCTGCAGTGTCCTTGGCCTGGGTGCCCCAGACCCGAGCAGTGCGTGTGGTGGGGGGCACTGCTTCCACGGACCTGCTGCTGCTGGAGCTGTACCTGGAGAATGAGCGCCGCAGCGGAGGCGGACCCTTGGAAGGACTGCGCAGCCTGCCCAGGCAGCTGGGCACTGTAGTCTCCTTTCAGCAGTGGCAGGGTGAGTAGGATGGATGGACCTAGCAGGAATCTTCCTCTTCTCCAGAAACCTGATGGTTTCTGCCATCTCCTTTTTTCCAAGTGGCTGAACGAGTGCTACAGCGGAACCACCGGCTGCAGGGCTCCGAGCTGAGCCTGGTTCCCCACTATGATGTCTTGGAACCAGAGGAACTTGCTGAAGATACCAGTGGAGGGGATCAGGCAACCATTCAGAGGTCTGGAACCACTGAGCATGCTCTCTTGGAGGCTGGAGGGCTGGCAGAGGCCCGGCGTAAGACTGTGGGTTCTGAAGAGATACCAAGACAAGTAGGAACCTCTCTAACGAAAAGTCCTGTGAAAGTTCCAGGACCTGCTGTGCCAGGTGACTTGGGACATGTAGGGTCTCTAGAGCAAGAGGACCCCATAAGCCTGGGGACTATGAACTCTCCACAGCAGGCTGGATTCATGAATCAGGAACTTATGGGATCTGTAAGCTCAGTGGGCCTAGTGGAAAGCTCTACAGGGTTCTTGGGGCAAGTAGGACTCATGGGCCTAGGATCTATGGGGCTTCAAGGGCAGGAAGGTTCTGGGGAAGTTGCTGTGGGCTCACTGGGGCAGGAGGACCTAATGGGTCCAATGGGGCTCACCATGGAATCTACAGAGATGGGGTTGGAGAGTCCTGAAGGTGGAGGGCTACAGGGGCAGGAGGGCCTGGTGGAGATAGTGTTGTCGATGGAGCCCGGGGCCATGCGCTTCCTGCAGCTTTATCATGAGGACCTTCTTGCCAGCCTTGAAGACGTTGCCCTTTTCCCATTGGAAGGAGTGGATGTGACTGGCTTTCGGGTGAGTGACCTTCAGCATCCCTCACTTTGTCCCTTGCTGGGGCTCTGGGTACCTCTGCTATGCTCTGAACTTGCAAACTGCCCTCCACCATGCTCCTACAGCTCTGTGGAGCCAGAGCCCCATGCCAGGCCGCCCAAGAGTTGCTACAGAGTCTTCTGGGCAGCATTAGCTGCCACACGCTGAGCCTGAAGTACCCAGGCAGTGCCAGGTTCCTGCTGGGCATGGAAGGACAGTGCCTTCTTCAAGGGCTGGAAGCTCAGTTCCAGTGTGTCTTTGGAACAGAGCATCTGGTCAGCGCCACCCTGGGCATAGATCCTGAAAGGGTAAGATGGAGTTCTGCCCTTGTCCTTTTCCTCACGTCCTCACAACCAGATGCAGAGGCTGTTGTGAACCTCACATCCTCTTCTCATAGGTGGATCCCACGGAGGTCCTCCAAGTCCTCCCCGGCCACAGCACAGGCAGCGATAAGGAGAATGTGAACCTTGGTAGGGCTCCTTGGGGACCCTAGTGTGTCTTCTGGTCTTTTTAAAACTTCTCTTCTCCCACTCTGCTCTCCCACCTGTTCAGTGGTCCTTCTCAGGCCTACTTTCTACCCCAATCTCTATCTTTCAGCATCAGTCACCTAGCTGGACCTGACCGCTGACCTAGTGGCTTCTTTCTGCCCCTAGAGGAAGTCCGAGAGCTCCTTGCCACCATGGAGGCCCTAAGTGGGGAGGACTGGCTGCCTCTGGAGTTGGAGGAGGAGCAACCAGAGGAGACAACCCTAGGGCAGGAGGAGGAAGAACCCACACCCAAAGCTAGGGAAGAGCCTGTGGTCTCCAGCACTGGGGCACCTGGACGGCTAGAAGAGGAGGCCAAACTGCAGCTGGCCATCCACCGATCCCTGGAGGCTCAAGACCAGGTGGCTGAGCAGGAAGAGGCTGCTGCACTGAGGCAAGCCTTGGCACTCTCCCTGCTAGAGGCAGAAGAGCCCCTAGGTGAGGACACTGGTTTCAGGGCCGAGCTGGTGGTGCACACATCCTTTGAGCAGGACATGGACAAGTTAGACCGGGCACTAGCAACTGCCTTGGAGGCACACCTTCAGGAGGAAACAGTGAGACTCCAAGGCCAAATGGTGCCCGTAGACCTTGGGGGTCGCCTGGAGAGGTGCCACGATGTGAGTGTTGTCCTGCGTGGTGACTGCGTCGTCCTTCGTGGCTTCGGGGCCCAGCCTGCCCGTGCAGCCCGCCACTTAGCTGCTCTGCTTGCTGGTCCTTGGGATCAGAATTTGGCCTTTTCCTTGGGGGCCTCAGATAACAAATGTGAGTCTGTACCTCGGACTTGGGGGAAGAGTAGAATGGGCTGTTCTTGGGCTAGTGCCTGAGACATAGCCCTGATGCCCTTTCTCCCCTGCATATCAGTGTTAGAGCAGGACCCGAAGGAGCCCTTGGACAGGCTGGAAGGCTTGGAGGAGAATACCAAAGAGTTCCGAGATGTGGTGCAGGCCTTCTATGACACTCTGGATGCTGCCCACAGCAAGATCTCCATTGTTCGGGTGAGTTCATACCCTGTGTTGCTGCCTTGTGACCTGTCATGGGTACTCTTCTGTATATCAGGACCAACTGACCAAAAGCCGCTCACTGTGGGCAGGTCGAAAGCTGACGGGATGGAGCAGCCTCTTTTCTTACCCAGGCTGTTCAGAGTCTGAGGAAGGGAGACAGAGGGAATAAGGTTAGGGATCTGACAGGCCTGCCTGAGTGAGGCTCCCTACCGGGGACTATATGACTCTCTGTGCCTGTTTCCTTGTCTGGAGCATGGATGGTGATGCCATCTTGTGGCCAATGTGAGGATTACTTATTCCTACAAATGCATATTTGTCCTGTTCTGGGAGCTCTTCTGTCTCCAATAGAGTCCTGAGCTGGGAAAGGGCTAGAATCCCTCTCTCCCCATCTCTCTCTCTCTCTCTCTCTCTCTCTCTCTCTCTCTCTGTAAATAAAAAATATGTATTTTTGTGGAATTGGGGATGTAGGTCAGTTAGGTCAGTAGTATAAAAATATATATATATGTACACATCATACATATACACATATGTTGTATGTATACATACCTAGAAGCTGCTTGCCCTGTACTTTTTTTTGGTCTTTTTGAGACAGGATCTTCCTGTAGCCCCAACTAGCCTGGGATTCAGTATGTAGACCAGGCTGGCCTTGAACTCACAGAGATCCACCTGCCTATGCCTCCTGAGTGCTGGGACTAAAGGTGTGTGCCACCATGCCTGGCCTTGCCCTGTATTCTTGCTAAATTTGGCAACTATGAATAGTATGAATATGTTCCCAAAAAGCTAGTACCAACTAGTGGGGAGTCAGAGGGAAGTCCCAGAAACCACTGGCCTTTCCAGGCAGATGGGAAAAGAAGAGCCGAGGGGCTCTGGAGGCCAGGGAGGCGTGAGTACCTGGAATCAGGGGAGAAGAGCTGAGGGGCTCAGAAGACTGTGTGTGCTCATAGATGAGGCCAAAGGGGGATGGTCACAGACAGGTAGAAAGGATGGGAGACCTGGGGTCACTGTGTGTATAACTATGTAAGGTGCTCCCTACTCCTGATGCTCAAAGTTATGGGTAGGGCTAATAACAACAGTCTTCACATAGAGATGATTGGAAAAGTCACCCACCACCAGACCCAGCAACAGTCACCACCTGCTACCATCACCACCTTTCCCTCTATTACCATCCCCACCATCCCCACCACTCTACCGTTATCACCATGACCACCAGTTACCATCACTATCACCACCGTCACCATCAACCACTATTACCATCATGACATTACTGTCACCATTACCATCATCATCATCACCACCATCATTAGCATCATTATTACTATACCCAACAGCTACCATCACCATCATCACTACCATCATCACCACCATCATCACCATCACTATTATCACTGTTTCCATCATTATCACCATCACCACCATCACTATCACTAACCATCAACCACCAGTGCTATCATCACCATCACCATTGTAACCATCACTGCTATCACTATTGTCACCACCATCACCATGATCAACTATCACCAGTGTCACTATTATCACCATTACTACCATTGCATCACCACTACTGCTCTTACCCTCACCATTATTGCTACCATCATCACCATCACCACCGTCATTATCACCATCACCACTAACACTGTCATCATCACCATCACCACCACCATCAGTATCATCACCATCTTCTTTCAAAACCTAACAACCAGCTGGTTTTGTTCATTGTATTCATTTACTTGCTTCTTTGTTTTTGGGTCTTACTATATAGCCCTGGCTGGCCTTCAACTCAGAGATCCACCTGCCTCTGCCTCCCAAGTACTGGGATTAAAGGCGTGCACCACTAAGCCTGGCCATTTACTTGGTTCTTATGGAGAGTGTATAATTTTAGATGACACATTTGAGGCTTTTCTGTTATTACTTTAGAAACTTTTTTTCTTTTATGCCTGTAATATGAAGTGGAAGAAAATAGGTCTTTCTTTTCTGTCACGTCTTCCTCCGGATATCTCATAATTTATATTGTTTTTACTACGTAGGTAAGGTGCATAAGCACACTTCATATTGTAGCCTGCATGCTTTAGCTATATGATGATAAGGAAGAAATATCTACTCTTCCACCATAGGTGAATGGAACCATAGTCACAAAAACTATATAGGAGACGGGCATGGTGGCGCACGCCTTTAATCCCGGCACTCGGAAGGCAGAGGCAGTTGGATCTGTGAGATCAAGGCCAGCCTGGTCTAGATAGCTAGTGAGTTCCAGGCCAGCTAAGGCTACAGGGAGACCTTGTCTCAAAAAGACCAAAAAACCCCCAACAACAACAAACAAACAAACAAAAATAAATAAAAAACAAAAGCTGTATTGAGACTGGAGAAAGCGCTTAAAAGTGATTGCTATTCTTTCAGAGAACTGAAGTTCAGGTCCTAGCACCCATGTAGGGATGTAGGGCAGCTCACAACCAACTGTAACTTCAGTTCCAGGGGACACCGACACCCTCTTCTGGCCTCCAAGGGCACGCCCACACTTGTATGTGCACACACACACACACACACACACACAATTTTTTTAATCATGGAAAAAGGAAAGGAAAAAGAAAAACCTGTGTGGCAGGCCAGGGGTGTATCTCAGTGGGCAGGGTGCTTGCCTGGCATGCACAAAGTCCTGGGTTTGAGTCCCAGCAATGAATAAATGGGGGACCATAATCCTAACACTGGAAGACAAGGGGGGGAGGCAAGAGGATGAGATGTTCAAAGTCATCCTCAGCTACACAGTGAATTTGAAGCCAACCTGGGATACATGAGACCTTGTCTCAAAAACCGACAAAAATAACAGCTAACTAAACAGTGATTTGCGAAAGAGAACATTCTAGGATTCAGAGGTTCCTTTTGTAATTTTGAATTTTCTTTTCCTGGGTATGTTGGCCTCTTCCCACCTTTATGTATAGATTCTGCTGTGGAGGAGGAGTATCTGTGAGTGGGCAGTGAACACCTCTGAGCTTTTAAGTTTATATTGCCAGGTGGGTGTTGGTGGCACATGCCTGCAATCCCAACACTTTTGAGGCTGAGGCAGGGGGATAATATTTGAGGCCAGTTTGGCTTACATAAGAAGTCATGGGGCTGGAAAGATGGTTCAGTGGTTAAGAGCACTGGCTGTTCTTGCAGAAGACCTGAGTTCAAATTCCAGCACCCACATGGTGGCTAACAACCATTATAACACCAGTTCCAGGGGATCCAATGCCCTCTTCTGTCCTCCTTGGGCATTGCACAACATGGGTGCACTTACACACTTGCAGGCATTACACTCATATACATAAAATAAAAATAAAAATAAGGAAGTCCACAGATAGCCTGAGCTACATAGCAAGACTTTGTCTCAAAAAGCAAAACAAAGGCCAGGTGTGGTGGCACACATCTTTTATCCCAGAACTTGGGAGGCAGAGGCAGGTTGATCTCTGTGAATTCGAGGCTAGTCTGGTCTATATAGTAAGTTCCAGGCCAGTTGGGGCTACAGGGAGACCCTGTCTCAAAAAGACAAAAAAACAAAACAAAAAAACAAAAAAGGGGCTGGGGTTGGAGATATGGTTCAACGGTTGAGAACACTGGCTACTCTTGCAGAGGACCCAGGTTCAATTCCCAGCACCTACATAGTGGCTGACAACTGTCTGTAACTCCAGTTCCAGGGAAATCCGAAGCCCTCTTCTGACCCCCATGGGCATTACATGACACAGGTGCACTTACATACATGCAGGCAATACACTCATACACATAAAGTAAAAATAATCAACAAAATATTTTTAAAACCAAAAAAAGTTATAGCCTTTTATAATTAGTTTTGTTTTGCAACTGTAATTTGATATTGATAGATACTTTCATGTTTTCTCGTTTGCTGATATGTCCTTTCTGTCTTCACTAATATCTTAGCTGGGTGAATAGTGTTCAGATTCAAAATAGATTTTCCCTCAGATGTTTAAAGACATTGCTCTTTTTCCTCGTTCTTAAAGTTAATATATATATATATATATATATATATAGAGAGAGAGAGAGAGAGAGAGAGAGAGAGGGAGAGGGAGAGAGAGAGCAAGAGAGCCGGGTGTGGTGGAACACGCCTTTAATCCCAGCACTTAGGAGGCAGAGGCAGGTGGATCTCTGTGAGTTCAAGGCCAGCATGGTTTACATAGTGAGTTCCAGGACAGCTGGGGCTACAGGGAGACCCTGTCTCAAAAAGAACCCCCCCAAAAAAGACCAAAAAGAAAATTTAAAAAATATTATTACTGTGTATGTGCAGAGTCTATATGTGTGCATATGCATGCTGTGGCGCATATGTGGAGGTCAGGGGACAACTTTGTGATGTTGATCCTCTCTGTCCACCTTTAGGTTGATTCTGGGGATTGAACTCAGGTTCTAGGCTTGTACAGCAAGTGCTTTTACCTGTGGAGTCATCTCACAGGCCTCCTGGGAAAAGTTTTTTCTTGAAAAGTTAGAACAATTACTTGGTGTTTTCTTTCTTTAAAGATTTTTTAGAAATTTAATTGTGTGTGTGTGTGTGTGTGCACGCGCGCACACGTGAGTGGTACCTTTAGGGGCCAGAGGCATTGGACTCCCCTGGAGCTGGAGTTACAAGTGGGTATGAGCCACCTGACATGGGTGATGGGAGCCGAATTCAGGACCTCTGAAAAAGCAGTAAGTGCTCTTAAGCGTATGCGTGCACACTCATAAATTTTCTTCACTTCAAAAGCTAAGGTTTTCCTGTTAGATGCCAGGGCCGTGTCTTTCTCCACGAACTTGGCATTTCGTGGTTCTCTTCATCTGGAACTACTGCTTCCAGCTCAGGGAAGTGCCTTCTGCTGAGTCCACAGGTGTCCCATCTGTCTGTCATCCTGAGCTCCTCTGAGGCAGAGCGGAGACCTCCGCCGCTTCATGTCCTTACTTGCCCCGTCGGCTTTTCTCTATTTCTTTAGCTTTGCTTTCTGCGTCAGTTCCTTAAATCTTCTAGAGTGCCGTGGGATTTAATCTTTAGCTTTAATCATTTCATTTTCTGGCCCGCCCAAAGAATTTAACTCAGCAATCCTTTCCTCCTCCTCCTGTTCTTCCTTCTCTTCCTCCTCCTCTTCCTGTTCCCATCACACCTCTCTCCCTCCTTCCCTTCCTACCTCTTTCCTTCCCTTTTCTGTTTAAAAATATTTTATTGATTATTTTTATTTTATGTGTATGAGTGTATTTCTGCATGTGTGTAAGTAAGTGCACCTGTGTCGTGACCTTAGCGGTCAGAAGAAGGCATTGGATCCCCTGGAACCGGAGTTATGGACTGTTGTCAGCTGCCATGTGGGTGCTGGGAACTGAACCTGGGTCTTCTGCAAGAACAACTGGTGCTCTTAATCTCTGAGCCATCTCTCCAGGACCCCTGCCCTTTTCTTTTTTGTATTGGGATCCAATCCACTTGCTAAACAAGCACTGTGTTGTGTCACAGAGTTGCATCTCCAGCCCAGTTAATCCTACCTTTAATGTGCTGTGTTTTTTTAAAGTTTTGATTTAAAAAATATTATTTTTATTTTATGAGTATGAGTGTATGAACCTGCATGTGTGTAAGTGCACCCATGTTGTGCAATGCTCATGGAGGTCAGAGGTATTGGATTCTCCTGGAACTGGAGTTTTGGGCAGTTGTTAGCCTCCATGTGGGTTCTGGGAATCGAACTTGGGTCCTCTGCAAGAACAGTCAGAGCTCTTAACCACTGAGCCATCTCTCCAGCCCCAAGGTGTTGTTTCTTATGTGCAGACTCTTTTCATATCAGCTAGTCTTCTTGAATGTGGTCTTTGCATCCATCTCTCAAGAGGCTAATTAGTATTTTCTTAAATGCTCTGTTTGGGGCGCTGGAGAAATGATTCAGTGATCAAAAGCACTTGTTGCTGTTCCAGAGGACACAGGTTGGGTTCCCAGCACTCACATGGCAGCTCACAACAGCCTGCATGCATGTGATGCACATACATCCACTCAGCTACACACATACATACACATAAAATAAACTAAATAGTAAAAAACTTTTGGTTTATATATTTATTTATTGTGCAGAGAGCAGAGAGCAACTTATTGGAGTTCGTTCTCTCTTTCCACCATGTAGGACCCAGGGATGGATTTCAGGTCGTCACACTTGGCAGCAGGTATCTTTTACTCACTGAGACATCTTGCCAGCTCCCTGTTTTTTAATTTATTGTTTTATTTTAAAATATTTTATTTGTTGCCGGGCATGGTGGCGCATGCCTTTAATCCCAGCACTTGGGAGGCAGAGGCAGGTGGATCTCTGTGAGTTCAAGGCCAGCCTGGTCTACATAGTGAGTTCCAGGATAGCTGGGGCTTCAGGGAGACCCTGTCTCAAAAAGACAAAAAACATTTATTTTTATTTTATGTGTATGAGTGTATTGCCTGCATGTATGTGAGTGCACCCATGTCGTGCAATGCCACAGAGGTCAGAAGACGGCTTCGGATTCCCCTGGAACTGGAGTTAAGGACGGTTCATAGCTGCCATGTGGGTGCTGGGAATCAAACCCAAGTCCTCTCCAAGAGCAGTCAGGGCTCTTAACCGCTGAGCCATCTCTCCAGCCCCTTGTTTTGTTTTTTTGAGACAGGGTCTCACTGTGTAGCCCGGGCTGTCTCGGAACTCCCTATGTAGACTGAGCTGTCCTTGAACTTGTAGAAATCCACTTGCCTCTACTTCCTGAGTGCTAGGATTAAAGGTGTATGGCGCCACACTCAGCCTTAAATATTTGTCTTTTTCTAAAGATTTATTATTTTTATGTGTATGAGTGTTTTGCCTCCATGCATGTAAGTGTACCACATGTGTGCAAACCTGAGGAGGCCAAAAGAGGGCATAGGATACCCTGGAACTGGAGTTATGAACAGTTGCCAGGGTTTGATTTCCAGTACCCACATGGTGGCTAACATGGTGCTGGGAGCCAAACCTGGGTCCTCTGCAAGAGCAGCCAGTGCTCTTAACCACTGAGCCATCTCTCCAGCTCAAATAAATCTCTAAAGAATAAAAAAACCCTCTGTTGTTACCACAGGGCTGACCTTGGGTTGGTCACACAGGGCCTTCTTTCCCACTTTCTACTGAGAGGCCCAAGGGCATCTTGGCATTGGAAGTGAAGTCCTATGGGCACTGTAGGCTTTTCACTACGGAAACCTGGTTGTGGGTTCTAAGTTCTGGTGAGTAGGTGGGGTTCCTGGAGGAGTCAGGCCTTCCTGGAAGCCAGACTTCCAATGCCACTTGTGGCATGGAGGTGATTAATGTATATTCCTCTAGGCCGAGTGATGGGGGCTTTTAAGTTTTTCCCTCAATTCTTAACACCTCCACTAGAGGGCTCATCATTGCGGAATTCAGCTCTTTCCTGGGGTGGTATAGGGAGGGACTACAGATAACCTGACCCCGACTACCTAACACTTGGCAGGTGGAGCGTGTGTCAAACCCGCTGCTACAGCAACAGTACCAATTGCATCGGGAGCGCCTGATGCAAAGCTGCAAGCAACGCCCGGTGGAGCAGGTCCTATACCACGGCACAACTGAGTCTGCAGTGCCTGACATCTGCGCGCACGGTTTCAACCGCAGCTTCTGTGGCCGCAATGGTAAGACCTGTGCAGGACAGGGCCACTGATCATGTTGCGGACCCCAAGGACCCTGACCTCGGTTTTACCCATCTCGTCCCGCAGGCACGCTCTATGGGCAGGGCGTGTACTTCGCCAAGCACGCGTCCCTGTCGGTGAAGGATCGCTACTCACCCCCCAACGCCGAGGGCCACAAGGTGGTGTTCGTGGCTCGGGTGCTGACCGGCGACTACGGGCAGGGCTGCCACGGTCTGAGGGCACCTCCTCTGCGGGCCTCGGGCCAGGTCCTGCGCTATGACAGCGCGGTGGACAGCCTCCACCAGCCCAGTATCTTTGTCATCTTTCACGACACCCAAGCCCTGCCCACCCATCTCATCACCTGCAAGAACATACCCCGGGCTTCCCCTGGAACTTCCCTCGGTCTCTCCCGTGACATTTGACCCCAGAGGCCAGCCTGGTGTTCCCGGCTCTGCACAGTCCCCCCAGTGTGTACGACCTGCCCCTGGGGGCGCCCCTGCCACGTGCTCCAAAGCCAGGTTCCCCTCCTGGGCCGGCCTGGCCGCCAGGGGTCAGCAGAGTCGGGCAGGAAGGTGCCCCGCCCGGCACTCGGCCTGGGTTGGACCGCGCCCTAGCGCACTTCTGTCTGAATAAACCGGTAGCCAGCCGGGCGGCCCAGCCTGCTGGAACCCAGAATCCGATCTCTGTTTGGGGAGTTGGGGGGGGCCATCCGCGTGGCTGGGGCCGCAACCAGCTGTTCGGGGCTGGGTGGTGGCGGCGGTGGGCTACCGACTCTGGAAGCGCTGAGATGCAGGTCTGGACGCCGCGCACTCCCGTGACCTCACGCGGCTCGCCGGTGGCATCTCCCTGCTACCCAGTTGGTCTGCACGCGTGGGGCGCCAACCTTGCCCGGAATAGGTGTACTCGCTTGGGGAGCCTTATCTAGTCACACCGTGGGCTCCGTTTCTGCCACCTTGGGACTCCTGGTCACGCGGGGAATCGCTCGCTCAGCGGTGCGGCTCAGCACCGATCTTGGTTAGGACGGGGCGGGGCTCTGGGTTCGCCCCGCCTGCGCCTGCCTCCCCCAGCAATCTGGCTGCAGCGGCCGGGAGGAGGCAAGCGGAACCCCCAGGCGCGTAGGACCGAGAGGGTATGGAGAGACTTGCAGCGCGCAGGAGCTGCGGGAGCTGCGGGGATGGGGTGGAGTGGGGTGGCAGCAGGCCACCCGGAACTAGGTTCTCATCGCAGCCCGTCCCGCGCTCGGGAGGACAACACCTCCCAGCAATCGGGAAATTGCGGAACTGGACGAGAGGTGCCCGGGTGTGGGTAGGAGAGGCTGTAGCCAAGGCGCGCCCTCCTGCAGGGCTCTGGACTGGGGGCAGCGGAGGAGCCGGGTGGGGGAGGCATCGGTGATGACCGCTGACTCCTTCTGGGCTCTTGGCCTGAGGGCGGAGGCACAGAGCCCACATTGTGCCCCCACACTACTCCACCGCCGCCGCTGAGACAGAGCCCCATTCACCTCTTGCACGCCAGTATTCTCGGGGCGGGGTGATGGAGCGTGTGCACGCATGAGTATGCGTGCGCTTTGGCTGCGCCTGCAGTGAGATGGTGGGCTGCTAGAGCGGCCGCTGGGCTCCCCCAGGCTTTGCCGCAGCTGAATTCCCGCAGCCCACGCCCCTGCGGCTCCAGCTATTTATAGGCCTTCGCTGCTGAGATCGAGGTGGGACTGCGCGGGGGCTGTAGGTGGGGTAGGGTGATGGGGACTCCTAGAGATGGAGACAGGTAGCAGTGCCCTGTCCACGGAATGGGGCTGAGGGCCTTTTTCTGAAGAGGAGGACAGTAGGGGCCCTGGTCAGTGTTTGTTGCTGGATCACTGCCAGTCCATTGGAGGATTTGAGGAGAGGGAGTCCAGGATTGCGATTCAGGGGGATGGATGAAAGCCAGTGTCCTAGTTACAGGGACCATATGGATGTGTATTTGAAGGCGATGGTTTCCTCCCCTCTGGGTTTGACAGGGTGGAGGGTGGTGTCAGTGTTCTGCATTGGGGAGGGGGATGAACAGTATTTGACTAAGAGAAAGTAATGATGGTCAGTGTGGGAGCTGGAGAAGTTGAAGGTAGGTATGAATGGGGGAGAGGTTGTGAAGTCTGGGCTGAGCAGGCAGGGGTCAGGGTCTGTGAAGCAGGGTCTGTGAGTGTGGTATCAGTGTATAGGAGGTGGTGGGTCCATGTGCAGTACCCACTCCCCCCCACAGGCAGAAAGGGTGAACCCCCTCCTGCTCTCCCTCCAGGAGGCCATGTCAGGAGAAGACTCTGGGGTGCGGCCAGTGGCTGAAGGCAGTTCCAATGGAAGCAGTGGCTCACCCAGCCCCGGGGACACACTGCCCTGGAACCTTGGGAAGACACAGCGAAGCCGGAGAAGCGGAGGTGGCTCTGGGGGCAACGGGAGTGTCTTGGATCCTGCAGAGAGGGCAGTCATCCGAATTGCAGGTAATAGGGAAGGCTCTGGTCTGCCTTCATTAGCACAGGTGCTGCTTAGGCTCGGGATGTGTGCGTATGCAGTTGTCTGTACTGGATAGGTCAGACAGTATCTGCTGTGAGGGAGGGACTCTTCTGTCGCAGGTGAGTGCAGACAGCACAGTGCCACCTGCTGGCTCGAAACAGGTAGCTGCCGAAGATTGGAGGTTTGACTTCTAGCTGCATCATCTGTGGTCTCCACCGCAAAGGGTCCAAGCAGCCATCTGCAATGGGGATAATTTCTTGGTCTCCCGAAGCCAGGCTGCTTCCCCTGGTCTTGGCTGCCACCTAAGGGTGGGGAGACACTGCAGTCTAAAAGGAGAGGGTGTTTGATCTGTGAGACCCAGCACCTCTGTGAGCCAGGAGCCAGGATTCCTTCAGGAGCTGCGGGTCTAAGGAGAACTAAAAGCATCATGGGAGAAAACAGACAGTTGGAAGGTAGCTAGCTAGAGGGCAGCCTGTCCCTTTGGGAAGTGGGTCACCTAAGGCTGGAGGCTATTGGGTAAGATGTCCTGGGAAAGGGAGTTCTGACCCCAGTCCACTGCTAGGACCCTCTAGGGGAGGATCAGGCACCTGAAAGGTAGGATGGGACCCTGTAGGAGACAGGGAGGGTGGACTGAGGGCTGGAAAGCCAGCTGCTCAGCATGGAGGTGAACTTTATTGGTGGAAGCATAGTAGCAGCTTGTGGAGGAACAGCAAGAAACATGCCCTCCCCACCACATTCCAACCTCAGCAGACAGACAGCAAAGACTAGTCACAACCTGGTCTTTCTCATATTATGAAGAATTTTAAAGAAAGAGGTTCTTGCCCCACTTGGATTCATGAATGTGCTTCCCCTTCCCTGGACCTTTAAAGACAGGAGTGGGCTGAGGGGCTACAGGTACCTCAGCAGCCCCTGCTGGGGGGGTTGGTGATCTGCTGTGTTCACTGTCCTTTTATGCTGTAGCCACCAGCCTCTGGTGCACTCTGGTCAGTCTTAGGATTGAGTTAGAGACTTCAGCTCATGGTGCATGGTTGAAGTTTCCCAGGAAGGGTGCTCTGGCAGTCCAGAAAGGAGGGTGTGCCAGTGCTGGGAGACAGGACTTGGCCATTCTGATGGGTAAAGAGGAATTCTTTTATTACTAAGCTATTTTTTCTTATATATCGGAGTTACCCAACTATCTCCACCGTTGAAACCAGAGAGTTCTAAGTAATCTTGCGGAGGTGGGGGTGGGGTGGGGGAAAAAGGGGATGAGGGAAAGACCTCACCCGGTGACCAGGCGAAGTTGCCTGGAGCAGAGGAGTTGGAGATGGCCACCTCGGGGACTGGGTCCTAGGTGAGGAGGCCGTCAGCCTGCCGCTTCTGGTCGGAAGTGGGCAGGGACTTGTTCCCACCTGGATACTGGGAGCAAGGCTGGAATCCTGCGGGAGCAGTGCCTGGGAGCTGCGAAGCTCGGGGCAGTTCCCTGGCCAGCCCGCCCGGCCCCGCCCCGCCCGTGGGGCATCCTGGGTGCGGGGCGGGGCGGGGGCGGCCTCTTTAAGCCGCGGTGGCGGAGGGGGCCGAGCAGCCGCTGGGGCTGGAGGCCGGCCTTACTCGCAGCGGCCGGTTGCTTACCGCTCCCGCCGGCATGGCCGATATGCTGACGTCCGGCCCGCCGCCCGATGAGCAGGACTTCATCCAGGCCTACGAGGAGGTGCGGGAGAAGTACAAAGGTACCGCATCCATGGCCCTTGCCCACCCCCTGGGCGCCCGGGCCCCTGCCAGGTCAGCCAGCCTGACAGCCGGCCGCTCACCGTCGCGTCCCCGGCTGCTGTCCCGACCGTTGTTCCGACAGAGCCCAGTACCTGCCAGTCTCGCCTGCCCGGCTCTCCGGCTTCGGCGGCTGGCGCACAGGGAAGGGGTGGATGCGCTTCACTGAACCCCCTTGTCCATGACCTTAATAGGACATGGAGAGGCACGGGTGGTTGGGGTGGGTCCTGGTGTGGGGGGGGTACAGCATGGCATGTCAGGGTCCAGCTGTCTAGGCCCGTGTCCGGTGTCTTTGCCCAGCAGACACGTGGATCAAGGCTGAGCCATCCCCTCCCTGTCTCTCCTCTGGGGCAACTGCCTGTGTGGGGTGGGGGTGGCTGCTCCTCCCTGGCCAGTCAGTGGCATAGCTGCTGCCTCTCCTCACCTCCCCAAACTGGCCAGGGCTGGGCAGCACCCTCCCTTGGCAGGGAACTCCATTTCACCCTGCCTTTGTCCCCTGGGAGCAGCCCCTCCTTGTCTAGAGGAATCTCAGGGTGTCCCTCCAGCCCTGACTGTGGCTTTGGCAACCCTCCTTGCCTGTTCCATGCCATCCTGGAGCCTTGAACCTGCTCAGGCCCTGAACACTGTCAGCCACTCCAAGCCTAAATGCTTGCTGAGGGTTGGGGTCTGTGGGTTCTTAGTAGGCACGAATCCGACCGCAGGTCCCAGCCCTCAAAGACCTAGAGGCTTGTGTATGTACCATTGGGGAGGGTTGATGGTGAGGCCCAGGCCGAGCCCAACAAAGCAGGTTCCAGCTCCCCAGCCTGGTTTTGCTGGCTCTGACCCCAAGGACAGCTCAGGGAGAGAGGTCCTGCCGCAACTTTGCTTGGAGCCACATAGCGCCATTCCACCCCACACCTCACCTAGGCAGGGTAGGGTTCGCACTGCTGTGGGCACAGTGGATGTGCTGTGTGGGATTCTGCCAGTGCTATAGATGGCCTGACTGCTTAGGTGACCAGTTTACCTGGATTAGGTGGTGACACTCCTAGGATAGTGGACTCTTGAGCCTGACCACTGTATCCCTGGAGAGGCCTTGGGCATGCTGGCCTGTTGCGCATATGCAGCTTTAGAAGGTCTACTTGGACAAGTACAAGGCAGGGAAACAGCTGCCTACTTGGGCCACTAGCCCCTCTGGTGAACCCCAGACCACACTGTTCAACTGGTATTGCCTATGCAGAGTTGAACTTCTCTTGAATCCTACTTGGTTTGGTCAGATTGCTGGGCTGTGGGGCACACTGCTGGAACCTGCTCCCATGCATCATGCTAAGGTCATACTGGTCTCTTCTTCCTGGTGTCGGGGGCTTCTTATTCATCCATGAATGGACTGGTCCTTGGAGGTTCCTGGGACCCAGCTCTGTGCCCTCCCCCAGCCCAGTTCCACTGGAGATAGAGGTTGATGCTGGACATACTAGGTTCTAATGGCCCTTGTCCATCTCCTGGCTTGGCGTTGGAGGCTGGTGGAGGCTGGCGAGAGGGCGGTGAATGTGGGGGTGCTGCCTGAAGTGGCATTGTCATGTGATGGTGCAGCTGCCTGTGCACGTGTGTCCCACCAACCTTAAAGTAGCTGAGTTGCTAAGCAGGGTAGCAGGTGCTAGGGGCTCCTGGAGCGGTGACTGATGGTCAAGAATGCTTCTGAGGCATGCCAAGGCACCCGAGTCTCCTTGGCTCTGGCTCCAGGCAGGGGATAGGTGAGGGGCTAGAGCTACAGGATAAGGCAAGGAGTAGCCTAGGGGAGGCCAGAGGTGCCTCACGTGCCCACTTCCCATTGAGACCTGACCCCAGTGAACACTTTGGGGCTGCTGAGAAGCTAAAGCCCCATGCATCCTGTCCTTGGGGTGCAAGGACATGGAGGGCTCTCCTTAGTGAGGAAGGCAGAGAGCATGGTACCTAACCTCAGCCAGTGAAGGTCTGGGAAGCAGCTATGCCCCTCGTCCCATCTCAGCATCAGCTGCTTCTGTGGAGGACAGGGAAGCCTATCGGCCCTCCCGACCCCTGCCCAGCCATGCCTGAACTGAGGAAGGGCTCTGGCTCCTCCCTACTTTGACTCATGCCACAAGCCCTTCCCTTACAGAGATGCTGCCTTCACTTTTTGACTTTCACCCCCCTGACTTTGCTCCCCTTTACAACCTCTTGGGCCCTTCCCTGGACAGTCATTCCTGGCTCCTCTTCACTGGAAATCCCTAGCCTTCCCTACAGGAAGATGCTTCCCCAGAACTCTCTAAACTTCTGGTCAACTTGAGCCCTCCCCCCCCCATCTCTCCTGCAGGTAGTCTATCCAGGGGGGTTCCTGTGGAGTTGAGACTGCTGAGCCTTGTGGCTAGAGAGCTCTGGGTGCCTCAGCAGAGGGAGGGGACCACCCTTGCTGTGGGGCTGTGGGCTGGTGACTTACTGCCAATTGGTCTACCTGTGAGGGGCATCCTGACCTCTGGTTGCTTGAGCCTGGTCTGAGACACCTCACAGAGCTGTGTTGCACTGCTGTGCCATGGGAGCCTGTAGCCATGAGGAGGGCAGAGAAGGGCTTTGAAGGAGATGAGATGATGTAGGTAAATGGAAATGGGGATGTTTGATAAAGAAGGAAGGAACAGCTTGAATCAGGAGCCTCCACAAGGGCTACAGTATAAGGTGCAGGGCCGGAAGTGATAGCCTGGGTAACCCGGAGTAGAGCCTTCAAGGCTGACCTGTCAGATTTGGGAGTCAGCTGGCAACAGGCAGCATGGATGGCAGGGTAGGGCTTGGGAGTGCCAACCAGACTGCTAAATCATCCCAGCAGGGGGCAGGAGGTGTGAGAGGACAGGATCTGGGTGAGTGCTGTTGGTGAGTGGCTGGGACTCGGGGTTGGAAGCCTTCAGGAAGCACCTACCTGGGAGACCCACACTAGGTTGGGTGGGGGGAATGGACTGGAAAAGGGCTAGGAGCTATGTCACAATGTCCATAGGAAGACCTGGCTGGGGGTTCCCACAGTCCCTTGAAAGCTGTGGCCTACCTGGTGCCACTGTGGGTGGTACCCTCTTCTGTGTTCCTGCCCTCTTCAGTGCTGGACTCTGAGCTCTGTTATCTCTGTCCCTGGCACCAGCACCCCCCAGCCAGCATTTGCGTGGATGAACGGCCTCCATAGTGAAGCTCATCTGGCAAGTTGTTTGGAGGCTCTTTGGAGAGGACTTAATGGTCTCTGTTTACTGTCAAAAGTAAAACATGCTTTAAAAAAGTCAAGTACTATAACTATGTTAAAGGAAAGTGGTAAAAGCGCTGAGAGAAGAGGGGAAGAGGGGCACGCACTCACTTCTCTCTGACTTTAATGACCTCTGGAGCCTCTGGCTTTCTGTGTCAGCTCTGACTATGTTGACCTCATACTTACCATTGCTTAGATGAAATTCACATGCCATGATACAAGTCACTCACTCAAAGCATTCAATTCAATGTTTGATTTTTCAAAAGGCATATCACCGAAGCTGTACAGCCATCACAATCAATTCCAGAACATTTTTGTCACCTAGTCCCTGGCAACATAGATCTGCCCTGGATTGAATATTTCATCCAAATGGACTCATACAATGTGGGTCTGCCTTCTTTCACAGATACCAGAATTTTCTTCCTTTTTTTTCCCAGCTCAGGCTGGCCTTGAACTCACAATACACTCTTACCTCAGCCTCCCAAGTGTTGGGATTATAGGCTATGTCACCATGGTAGAATAATGTTCCATCTTATGGATATACCAACGTTTCTACATTTATTAGCTGATGGGTCTTTGAGTTATGATGACTAATGGTGCAGGTTTTTGTGTGGATATGTGTCTTTCTCTTGGGTAGATACCTAGGAGTGAAATTGCTGGTTATGTGGTAATTCTATATTTAACCGTTTGAGGAACTGCAGATGGTTTTACCGCAGTAGCTGCAGCATTCTAAATTCCCACGTCACTGTGTGACATTTCCAGTTTCTTCCCCCACCCCTTAATCTGTCTTTCTTCATTTTCTTTCTTTTTGCGGCATAGGGGCTGGAACCCAGGGCCTGGGGGATGCTAGGTCACCTTTCTAATTACTTCTTAAATTATTATTTATTTATTTTTATTTTATCTGTATGAATATTTACCGTCACGTACGTAAGTGCACTTGTGTCATGCAATGTCGGTGGAAACCAGAAGAGGGCGTTGGAGTCCCTGGAACTAGAGTTACTTGGTTGCTAACCACCATGTGGGTGCTTGGAACTGAACCTGGGTCCTCTTCAAGAGTAGCTAGTGCTCTTAACTGCCGAGCCATCTCTTCAGCCCCCTAATTTCTTTGATAGTATCTTTTGAAGTACGTGAGGAGAAGCATGTGCCACGATGTACATGTGTGGCTGTCAGAGGACAACTTGTGGAACTTCTACATGGGTCTCAGGGACCGATCTCAGGTTGTCAGACTTGGTGGCTAGTACCGTTATCTACTGAGCCATCTTACTGTCCCGCGAAGTATATAATGAAGACTTAGGTCTTCATTATTATGTATCTGATTTCTTTTTTTCTTGGCTACTTGCACTTTTGATGTCATATCTAAGAAACCAATGCTTAAACCAAAGCTGCAAAAAGTTTCTGCTTATGTTTTTTCTCTACCTCCTCCCCTTCCTCCTCCTCCTCCTCCTCCTCCTCTTCTCTTCTCCCTCCCCTCTCCCTCACCCCCTCCCCCCTCCCTCTCTTCTGCTTCTCTCAGCATCTCATTCATGGAAGTGCTCTACCACTGACTTACATTTCCAGCCATATATGTTTAGCTTTTATGCTGAGGTCTCCGATCTATTTTTAGTTAACTCTGCTTATGGCTTGAAGTAAACACCTACATTAGCACTGTAGCTATCCCGTTGTCACGGCACCATTTGTTGAAAAAATTCTTTCCCAAGCCAATCGTAGTGGCGCTACACGAAAGCACCACAGTTTATTTACTTGACCCTTTTAGATGGACATTGGACTTATTTTAAAAGGTGGTATTTCTAGGGCCTGTGCGATAGCTCAGCAGGTGAAAGCACTTGCTGTGAAGGCCTGATAACCTGAGTTCAATACCCACAGTCCACGGTGGAAGGAGAGAACCAGCTTCGGAAAGTTGTTCTCTAACCTCCATATACACTCCCATAGCACACACATGCACATACA